TGTCCTCTTTTGGAAGGCCAAACAAAGTAGTTTCGCTTTCACAATGACATACACAGCGTCTCCACAACATGGCGGAGGTGGCAACAATACTACAGCGAGAATAAAAGTTACGCCTTCTTTCTTTGCGTGAACATTTGGGCGGTGTTATGCAAATCTTCCCACACAGTGACGTAGACATGTGGGGGCATGTTTGAACGAGGCGTTTTAGGAGGGCGTGGACGAGTCTTAACTTTTATAAAGAATATCTCTTTAGGTTTGAGACTTTAGTCTTTGCAACTTTAGGGATCTTATCTATTCACAAACAGCTTGTAACACTCCAAAGAGAAAGGAAAACTTGAAATTGCATCATATGACCCCTTTAAAAACGTCTTAATAATGGATTTGTTTATTAAAAACAACTTTTCACTTCACAAGATGTTGATTTATGGACTGGAGTCGAGTGGATTACTTGTGGATTATTATCATTCTGACGGCACCCATTCACTGCAGAGGATTCATTGGTAAGCAAATGACGTAATGCTAAATTTCTCCAAATCTGTTCCAATGAACAAACAAACTCATCTACATCTTGGATGACCTGAGGGTGAGTAAATTTTCAGCATTAATTTAAATTTTTGGGTGAAGTATTCCTTTAATTGTCATGGCAATATAAGCAATATTTTTTTAACAACTACTATGAAATTACATGTTTTCTTTTAAGCTCTGTGAATATAAATTATTAAATGTATAAATTCAGTTCATTTACTTGCATTGAAATAATCAGATATTTTCTTTCAGCTGCCTTCTACAACTTTTGAGGCAGTAGCTGTGTTTCTTCCTGCCTTGTAAATGTATTTAAATTCATGATATTTTTCAAAACAACCATAATGAGAAATGAATCAAACTGACACTCTCTTATATTTTGTGCTATTGGCTGTTCCCTGCAGATTTCTCACTTTCAGGTGCACACGCTTCAGAATTAATCATAAACTCTGGCTCAAACCCTGAGGTGACAGAGAATGTTTATAACAAGCATTGTGAGCCCACTGAACTTGATTTAAACCGGGCTGGATTTGTAGAGATGTCAATTCTAAACCCACTCTAGAACTCAAAGTTTGTTCAAACAGCTTTATGCAACAAGTCACAGAATTTGGTTCATAAATATAGGCAAACTTGTATTGATGATAAATTAAAGATATATTTGATTATACTTGATTTTTTATTCTTACAATTATTTAAGAAACTGTTTTTTAAAAAGTAATGTAATGCCAAA